AAAAGGAAATGAGATTATATCTATACTAATGACCAACAGGGCTATCATTATAAGAGACATAACATGGGTCAAAACTGCAGTGACTATATTATTCTTCACTTTCAACTTAATGCAACAACTTTTATTACCTTCATCAGGGAGAGGGGTAAAATCAAGCTCTGAAAGGCTATGTAACTGTTAGGTAAAGGATAACACAGTTTGGAGTTCAATTACTACCTACTAATACATTATTGTTGAAAGTCACAGACTTTCAGTGAATTGCAGAATTTCCCTAAGAGAGACTACAGAAAACTTCCAGCCCCAACTTTTTCTCTCTACATTACCGCTACATAGAATCTGGACACCCAAAGGTGGAACAAAGAATGCTTCCAGTCCTTTACCTAGCAAAGCACAGTGCTCAGAAATGTTTAGATTTGCTCAAGAAATTAGACTGGTGCTGAAATAGATCTACAGGTCCATTTGGAACTACTCTGAGGTCTCCAGTAGTTCCAAAAGTCTAAGACCTTCTAAGAATCAGTTTTTCCAGATCACAAAAATAAATAAAACTAGAAATTTTGAGAATTACATTCCCAAAATAGGCCCTTACATAATCCACTTTCTTGGGGGAAAATGATATCAAGAATAAAGTCTCAGGTATATACATGCACTCATGTTCAGATATTGTATACATATTTTTGGTAGGTTTTAGGGCTAATACATTTCCCTCTGGCTTTTCACATCACCTAAGTTTTATTTCTCTCTCCTCTCTTTCTTCCTGTCTAATCTCCCTCCTCCATCCCCAGTTAAAGTACCCCCATTTTCCCCTTGATAATATCTGTCTCCTATTATCCCCCCTCTCTTGAGCTCCTTTTTCTCCTTCACCCCCATGATTCCTTGTACATCCTTCCCTCCTCCCTTCCCAGTTGAAGAAATCCATTTTCCCCATTTCCTCCTTGGTAACATCTGTTTCCTACTATCCCCCTCTCTCCCACTTTCTTTCCCTTTACTTCCATGGTTTCTTTTCATTTTCCTGGCTCCTGTGGTTATATCAGGATATTTACTTATATATCTGGTACTAAGATCACCAATGAGAGAGAACGTATGTCGCTTGTTTTTCTGAGTCTTTGTTACTTTGCTTAGTATATCAGTTTCTAGTTGCATCCATTTGCCTGAAATTTTCATGATTTCATCTTTCTTTACCACTGAGTAGAACGCCATCTGAACATGAGTGCATGTTATATAACAGGGAACACAGTGCCAGACAGGAGAAACCTCTTTCAGAATTGTTGGTAAGGGTAGTCCAAGAGACTCCCAAAATAGCATAAGATACTGCCAGAGCCCTTGACTACTTCCCAGAACTTGGAGGTAAGAACCTACTGCTGAAGACAGGACATACTCCAGACATAGGACTTGGAGCAATGGAGCTGGAACTGACCTGGCAGACTCCTCCCTGAAGACCAGCTCTCATAATTCTAGAGGATACCATGTAAGTGGCTAAGGGAGAAAAATCCATCAGTGGTCCAACCCCAGCTTTAAAGCCTAATAACCACAACAATGACCAGCACAACAAACTAGAGTGGTGCAGTAGTAGCACTTTTATCTAGTGACACAGCTATCTAATGGGATTTAAGGCCCTCTCAATGGGAGGAAACTCATGGGTGACACTGACAATACAGCCAAATATACATGGCTGAAGAAGTCATAGATCCTAGAGAAGACCCTACCTCTGTCACATCCCTAGACAAAACTACAAACCAATATACATGAAGGACAGAGAAAGGGAAAAAAAAATCCTTAAAGGTCTTAACAAATTGAATCCAGCAATATGAAAGAAAAAAAAACCTATTATGTCACAACTGAGTGACACAGGAACAAGGTCCACATATGTCTACAGGAACAAGGTGCTGATATAACATTTTTAAATAAATGTAAAAATATTTAAAAAAATAATATATCATTATATTAACAGACTGTAGGGAGGGGGAACTAAACAATAATTTCAAGTGGCACCTATAAGACCCTTATAGAAAGCATCGTACTTAACAGGGAAAGGCTGGATGTTTGTCTCCTGAGGTCAGGAGCAAGACAAAGGTATTCACTTTCACCATTTCTGTTCAACACTGTACTGGGGGTGCTGGCCAGTATAATAAGGTAAGAAAAAAAAATAGCATCCTAACTTAAAAAGGGCAAGTAAAACTGCCTTGATCATAGATAAAACCATATATAAACACAATTCTAAGGAACCTGCACAAAAGCTATCAGAACTAATAGAAGAATTTAGCAAGGATGTAAGACAAAAGGGCAGTGTATAAGAATCAGCTGTTTATATCTTAGGCAATGCACAATTAAAAACTAAAACATTATAAATTATTATTTATAAAAGCACTGAAAAATTACTTCAGGATAAATTTGCTATTTAGCAAAATGCAATGACTATAAACTTTTTTTAGTTTTTTATTACTTTTATTTTATGTGTATGGGTGTATTGCTATTGCCTGCACGTACGCAGGTGCACCTATGTCATGCAATGCCCACAGAGATCAGAAAAGGGCATTGGATCCCCTGGAACTGAAGTTACAGACAGTTGTTAGCTATCATGTGAGTACTGAGAATCAAACCTGGGTCCTCTGCAAGAGCAATCAATGCTCTTAACTGCTGAGCTATCTCTCCAGCCCCAAAATATGGATAAGCAAAAGAAGCCAGATACAGAAGACTATAGAGAAACTAGGGGTAATATCTAATCCAGAGTGCAAGAAAATGGATAACAGGTCCCTGGCACTGGAGGATGATAGTTATTGGGGTCAGATACAAGAAAACTTTCTGAAGTGATAGAAATAACCCATATTTTGATGTGGCAGTGTATAAATTTGTCAAAACCAGTAAAACTTTACTCTCAGAATTCAATACTTTATTATACATAAATTATACTTATCAAATTGTTTTATTTAAAGGTATTCATTCCTAAGTGTTTTGTAAAAAATACTAAACAGTACCACAACATTTTTAAGTGATGTCGGTCAAGTCCCTGTATCACACCTTAGGAAATACTGCTGATGGTTATACCTACAAATAGAATTAATAGGTCACAAGATATTTGAATCTGCAACTTTGTCAGATGCTGACAAACTGCTCTCCCAAGATTTATTCCTGTTTACACTCCTTCCAAATCCCTTTAAAACAGTTTACACTCTTTCTCTTCACCTCCTTTACTTACCTCAACACTAAAATAATTTTTCCATCCTTTAACCAGTCTTTGAAACTGCTTTTTACCAAGGTTACCATACATGATTTAATTTCAAAACTCAAAAGCTTCTTCATAGTTTTAATCATTCTTGACCATGTCCTTTGCTTGATTTCACAATAACTATTTCACCATAACCCCCTATAATGAACAGTCAATAATAATACACGCTTCTCAAAATTCTTTAGTATCTTCTCTGATGGTGGGAGAATACAAAATTTGACATAGTTCAAAACAGACAAAAACTTTATCTTAAAAACCTATGTAAATTTCATCCCATAATATATTCCCATTTAATAGGCTTAAAATTAATTACCATTAAGATCAATCAGTGGTACAAAATATATCACACTTATAAATGACTTTGTATAGTCAGAAGCCATATGTCCCTTGGGGTATGCATAAATGTAGTTCAAGAAACTCAAAGGACTTTGGCAAAACCATGAAACCTATGTTTCAACATAAGTCTGTGTAATTCAAATGCTCAAGGGCCTTCTCCTCTGTCATAATCTTTCACATTTTGTTCCCCTGAGTTTTGTTAATTAGGAAGCACTTGAGAGAACTGGAAAAGTGTAAGTGATCCCCCCTTTAATGATCCCACAAAGGTTGAACATGGATGAATGTTCAGCTTGCTGAGCTCCAGGTGCAAAGACGGAAGGGAAACAGCAGAGGAAGGGCCAGTGTGGCAGCACTATGCCAACATTATAATCGCCTGAACAAACAGCCTGGACTCGAGGACGCTCATTCCCCTGGCTCCGTCTGTCTCCTGGAACTGTGCTGATGGAACTGCCTCTGGAACTCTTACTAGAACTGTGTCCTCAAGTCTGGCCTCACACATAATTTTATTCAAAAGGGTTTCTCCAGCAACTGGAGAAGTACAAGCTTGGTTCCACCCTGATCTTAACAGACCACCCACTCTTTTCATCCCTATTTCTAGAATATCTCATTCACCCAAGGTCACATGTTCTTCCTAATCTCCACTGTGTGCAATGAAGATGGACGTGCCACTTTTAGTGCTAAATTATTTCTCAAGCAGACCCACATTCACTGTTTTGGTGTGGAGAACCAAATTGAGGTTGCCAAGGAAACAAGATCAAGTGCCCAGGTCATAAGAGCAATTTATAAACGTCCATTTATAAAAGTTAATTCCTACAGGATAGAAGAAGGAAAAAAGGAAAAGGAGGGGACTTTAACATATTTCTCTCAAAAAAGGAGAGATGGCTGAAGCAATGGCTCAGTGGTTAAGAGCGCTGACTGCTCATGCAGAGGACCTGAGTTCAGTTCCAGCACCCACATGGTGGCTAACAACCATCCATAACTCCAATTCCAGGGAATCCAACACCCTCTTCTGACCTCCATGGGCACTGCACGACATGGTGCACTTACATACATGCAGGCAATACACTCATACACATAAAAAATAAAGATAATAAATATTTTTTTAAATAAAAAAGGAGAAAATAGGTAGGGGTAGGAAAAAA